TTTTTTTTTTTTTTTTTTTTTTTTTTTTTGAGAAAGGGTCTTGTTATGTCTTTCTAGCTGAACTATGTAATCCAGGCTGATCTTGAACTACTGATCCTCCTGCCTCTCCTTCCCAGAGTGCTGGAATTATAGCCAGGTGCTTTCATGTCCCATTTTGATCCTCTTATAGAACTAAACTGGGTGTGGGGGCCCATGCCTATAATCCCAGCACTCTGGGAGGTTGAGGCAGGAGGATCTCAAATTTGATCTCCGCCTGGGCAATTTAGTAGGAACTTGTCACAATAAAAAAATATTGGGGATGTTCAATCCCCAGTACCACAATAAATAAACATACCAAGAGAACTAAGTAGTAGGGCCGAGGGTTTTAGCTCAGTGGCTCTTCCACCTGCCTCGCAAGTGCAAGGACCCAAGTTGAATTCCCAGTACAAAAACCAAAAACAACTTGAGTAATAAAAGCCTGTTGTTTTAAGGAATTAAAATACAATAAACATAAAACCCAATTTATTTTTCCCTGTTCTACCCTCTCCGATCTTCAGTTCAGGTGATAACCATTACTAGTAATATGATGTGCATCTTTCCACATATTTCCTGTGCATACACAACAGAATTACACATGCATGTAAACATATCTATAGCTCATGTATACAGAGGAGTACACACACATATACATTCATACCTTCTAAAAACACAAATATGAAGTGTAAAGGTCCTGGAAGGAAACAACATGGCACAGTCCTTTAGGGTCACTGAGGAGAGAAAGGATAAAGATGTGGGTGGAATTAAGGTCAGGCTGGAAGCTCTTAGGGGCTGATGACAGTGGGGAACTGTTACCTCCTCAGGCCTAATAAGTGCTAGCCCTTTGATCCAAGAAAATGGTCATGGCTGAGCTGCAGCCCATAGGGAGGAAGTCCAGGGATAGAATAGGGTAGGTATATTAACATCTTCCTCCAAGTCTCCTGGTTAAGTTGTTCTCCCTTTCCAACTCTGTATTTGGATGAATGGTTCCACCATGTTTGCTAACCAAGGCAAAAACTTAGGAAACCCAGGCCTGGTGGTGCAGTCTGGGATGCTGAGACAAGATTAAAATTTTGAGTGTAGCCTGGGCAGTTTAGCGACTTAGGGGCAACGTATTTTAAAAAATTGCTGGGCAGGTTTCACACACCTGTAATCCCAGCACTTGGGGGCTGAGCCAAGAGAATCACTGGGAGTTTGAGGCTACCCTGGGCTACACATAGCAAGACCCTGTCTGGAAAAAGCAAACATTGAAAGGACGGGATATGGCTCAGTGCAAAGGCCAAGAGTTCAGTCTCCAGGAGAGGAAAGCCAGCCAACTGACCCTGGCTGTCATTTGGAATCTCACATTTAAGCAGCCAGCAAGCCCTGCTTCTGCAATGGCTTCAATCAACTGTGCCTTCAGTGCCTCAGCCCTCATTCTTCTGGCTGAGTTATATTAAAAGTCTCCTGTGCTGGGTGTGGTGGTGCACACCTGTAGTCCCATCACTGGCAGGCAGAGGCAGGAGGATCACGGCAAGTTCAAACCTAGCCTGTTCTTCGTAGTGAGTTCAGGGCCAGCCTGAACTACAAAGTGAGACCCTGTCTCAAAAAACCAAAAGAAATAAAAAACTTTTAAAAAGTCTCCTAAATGCAATGCTGCCTTTGTTTGAGACATCCTTAATTCTGCAAAATTCTTTCTGTGAAGTGAAGCACATTCTTATTTGTATCCCCATTAGTGTATATATCAGGGTTTTTCTTGAAGAAAATGCGTGTAATCTTTTAAGAACTATATCTCATTCATCTTTATCATGCTCAAAGCACCTCCTAACTATGTAGCGAACATTAGATCAGTGTTTTGCATGTGTGGTTCCATTCACCAGAAGTACAATCTGAACAACAGAACTATTCATAAAGCATTCAAAGCAACATCTCTTCCAAGAAATTAATATTCAAATAATAGAATTAAGAGGGCAGCATTTATTCAATTGACTGGGTCAAAGAAACAAATGTTCTATATACATTTCTTGTTCCCTGCTTCACAGCCGTAGGCGTATAATTAATATTATCTGAGGATATTTTACTTTGAGCACAAAAGTATTACGTTGTTTTGATTTCCCTTGTGTTTTTTGTTGTTGTCGTTGTTCTTTTTTTTTTTTGGTACGAGGGATCGAACTTGGAACGTTGCACTCATGAGGCAGGCAGTGGCAACACTGAGCTAAATCCCGAGCCCTCTTTTGATGATACAGTACTGTATTAAGTACAGTACACTATTTTACATCATTTTATATATATGTTGTATACACATTTTATATATTTTATATGTGTTATAAAAATAGTTTTACAGAATTGCTAATGGCAGCTGGGCATGGTGGCCTGTAATCTCAGCACTTGGGAGGCTGAGACAGGAAGGTCACCAGGAGTTCCAGGCCACCCTGGGCTACATGGTGGTTGAAGGCCAGCCTGCATTACAAAGAAAGAGTCTGTCTCAAAAAACAAACAAACATAATTTCCTAAAGGAAAAAAATACTATGGGGTTAGAAATCATAGATAGACAGGTTTTAATCCCACCTATGTAATTTAGGAGCCATGTGCGATTGGCCAGGTTAGTTGACCTGATCTTATTCCAAGTGGTCGTAATAAATGACCACAGTGCATAATGAATGCCTAACGAAAAGAAAACCTTATTTTCACCTTTTAAAAGTCGCCTTTGGTCAAAAACTTCCACCAGTTTTCAGAAGCATAGACAAATTATGTGTTACAATTCAAATGATTTGCTCAGGCCATTTTTGTCCAAATACAGTATAACAACCTGCATTTTAAAAATATCACAATATTTACTGGTAAATTTTAGTTATACATAGTAATAACATTCATCATAGGGAACTTATACCTGTACACGGTATATCCTGCCCCTCTTCTCCACATGCCCCCTTTTAAGCCTCCTCCCCCATGTACAAAAGCTTTTTCCATTTTTTCCTTCTATTTTCAGTTTTTCTTGTCCCTTCCTCCCCCTTGTTCCCGTTCCCATTTAAACATTTTCTTCCTATTTCCCAATATCTATTATTCACTACAATCCTTATTTCCACTTTGTTTCTCACACCAGAGAAGTAATGCAGTATTTAAACGTGTATTCAATTTATTTCACTTAACAGTATGGTCTCAAGGTCCATCTATTTAGCTATAAATGTCTAAAGCTCATTCTTCTTCTTTTTTTTTTTTTTTGTGGTATCAGAGATCGAACTCGGGACCTTGTGCTTGCAAGGCAGGTGGCAGAACCACTGAGCCAAATCCCTGGCTCATTCTTTACGGCAGAGTAGTACTCCATTGTATAAAAAAAACCACATCTTTATCCACTCATCAGTTGATGGGCATTTGGGCCATTTCCAAGATTTAGCAATTACAAACTGTGCCACTATAAACATGGGTGTGCATATATCACTGTGGTATGATGCTTTTAATTATTTTGGGAAAATACCAAGAAGAGGAATAGTTGGGTCAAATAGAATCTCTAGGGCCAGGGATTTAGTTCAGTGGTGCTGCTGCCTGCCTTGCAAGCACAAGGTCCAGTTTTCAATTTCTGATATCCAAAAATAAAAACAAAGAGAAACTCTGGTTTTAGTTTCTTGAGAAATTTCCACACTGATTTCCATACTGGTTGCACCAGTCTATACTCCCACCAACAGTGAAGAAAGGTTCCTTATTTTTGTTTTGGTAGTGGGGACCAAACTAAGAACCTTGCGCTTTCAAGGCAGGCGGGAGGAGGCACCACTGAGCTAAATTGCTGGCCTGAGAAGGTTTCCTTTTTCTCCACAGCCCTGCGAGTGTTTGTTATTGGTTCATTTTTCTTTCTTTTCTTTTCTTTTTTTGTACCAGGGATCGAACTTGGGACCTTGTGCTTGTGAGGCAGGTGGTGGAACCACTGAGGTAAATTCCCAGCCCAGGTTGATTTCTTGATAATAGCCATTATTTCAGGAGTGAGATGGGCTCTGTGTTGTTTTAATTTACACTTCATGAATGACCAATTATATTTATTTGCTATTTCTACTTCATCTGAGAAGTGTCAGTTCAGATGCCCATTTTGGATTGGGTCTTTAAATTTGGGGGGGGGTCTGATTTTTTTTAGTTCTTTAGATAATAGTCCTTTGACAAATAGGTGGTAAAAATTTTTCCCCACATTGTGGGTTGTCTCTGGTTTCTCTTGCTGTGCAAAAGCTTTTTAATAAGATGAGGTCCCAGTTTTTGATTCTTTGTCGTATTTCCCATATGGTCTGGCTTTTGTTCATGAAGTCTTTGCCTACTCCTGTGTGCTCAAGCATCTACCTAGTCTCTCTTCCAGCAGATTTAGTGTTTCTATTTTAATATTTAGATCTTTGATTCATTTTGATTTTAGTTTAGTGCATGGTGAAAGATACTGATCTACTTTCCATGTTCAGCATGTGCAAAGCCTATTTTTCCAGTACCATTTATTAAAGAGGTTATCTTTCTTCCCATCAAGGTGTTTGGCTCCTTTGTCAAAGATTAAGTGGCTGAATATATCTAGAGTTCTTTCTGCATCTTCTAGACTGTTTCATTGATTTTCAGGTCTATTCTTTTGCCAGCACTAGGCTGTCCACCCCCACCCCCATAACAGGGATTGAATTCAGGACCTTGCACTTGCAAGGCAAACACAGTGCTACTGAGCTAAGCCCCCAGCCCCATGATGTTGTTGGTTTTTTTTTTTTTTTGGTTTTTTGAGACAGGGTTTCACTATGTAGTTGAGACTGACCAGGAACTCATTGTGTAGCCCAGGCTGGTCTTGAACTCACAGCGA